GTGTTTCGCTGCCTGTAGTTGTAACGATGGTGTCTTGTCTATGTAGGTGGAAGAGATAACTTGCTTTAGATTTCTCCTGTTGATGGTGATTGGTGCTTGTTGTTGATGCTGTTGTTGGTTGAGTATCTTTATGATCTCCGTCTTTTCTACTCTCACTTGAAGTCCCGTCTTCGCTACCTCGCCTCTTCTGTAAACTTGTTATTTTTTGAGTTTGTGGGAAATTAATCATAAATCATCGGCAAAATTCATATCTTGTAGGCTCTTCTCAACAATCTGGGCAGCCTTGGTAGGTTCATACGTGGTGCGGACATTCCATGTCCCCATCCTTACTTTCGCTTTCATCGACAGAAGGCATATCGGCCAATTGGCTTCCTGAAGTCTTTCACCAACCGGCGTCATTTCATCTCTCCGACTCCAGAGAGGAATAAGTTTGTTTTTATTTCTTATAATTTCTGTGTGCTTTGAAGTTTCTGCAGTGGTAGGATTGGTTTTACGGGATAGGGTTGGTAGCCCTATGCCCTGTTTATCCGGGCTTAGGACCGGCTAGTAACTAGTGAACTAGTTAACCAGGGGAGGTTACAATTGTTATACTCAAGAACAATCTATTCATTGGAAAATCATCTCTTATTCTGCATAGCATTCTAACCAGTCCTTGTGCTTTATGGCCTACCAAAAAGCAAACGTCCTATCGTAGACATGACCAACTCGCCTTACCATACTATCGCTAAATGGTTAGTACGATTACTTCAACCTTTGCATGACCAATTGACAAACTATAGCGTTAAAGAATATTCCAGTTGGTAGACGAAATAAAAGGAACTTGAATGTTTTCAACAAATACGTGAGATCCTTAGTTGTTACACCTTTATTCACTATCTTTCCTTCAGTGAGTGACCGTCGATCTTATTTGTGCACAGTTATTGCAAAGAAAATTAGACACTGGCATTCTTATTATGAATTTAAAAGAACTATTACTAAAATGTACAATAAATGTCCAGTTCATCTTCAACACTAATCTGTACAAATAAGTTGACAGAGTGGCTATGCAATCACTATTGGGCCCCATATTTACAAAAATATTTCTGGAAAAATCACAAAATGATCCTTTGAAAGATCAAATTGCCAGCATGGAGTTGTAATGGCGATACATGGATGATACCTTTTTAGTCTTTAATAGGCGCATATGTATTAATTCTATTCTAAACCATTTCAACAGCGGTCACCTATGAATTCACTTTAAATGCGAAAGTGAAATCAATCATTCGATACATTTTCTTGATGTGCTAAGAACAAGAAAATAAGATTGCTCTATACTGAGAGGTATATTTATGGAAAACCAACATCTGTATTGGATCCACGTCTAAGGCTTCTTGTCAATGAAGTACAAACGTAGTATAATCAAGTGTCTGGTATTTAGATTAAGATCTATTTGTTCCAAGGAATATGTAGAAAAAGGAACTACTGTGTATCATTGAAATTTTAAGTGAAAACGTTTATCCAGATAACTTCATCAAAGCTAACATCAACTACATTGGTCTTAAACGAGAACTGATGACAATTGCGAAGAAGTCTTTGTTTCTGCACTTACACGTGAGTGATATTCTATCATAACACTTATCCAGAGTTGTCAGTAAGACTTTTAATGCAGGTTGGCTTTGTATGTCATTCAGTAATCAACTAATGCTCAATCTGAGATTAAAGGATAGCCTGCCTAACCTTAGCTCTTTATCTTGCATATATCAATTTAACTGTTACTGTGGAACCAGTTACATAGGGTGTGTGATTAAGCATATACATCTTCCGATACGAGAGCATTTACCAGCTTGGTTCAGAAAGAGTGAAAGTAGTGAAAAGTTTAGTCCTAACACATTTAGCATCACATAGATCGTATTCCAAAAAAACGATACCGCACGTATGTCACCAACGTCTGCTCAACATAGCACAGGTTGTCATGATAAGACTGGTCAAACCTGAACTCTGTATTCAGAAAGAATATGTTCAAGTGTTACTTCTCCTTTGATCTTTAGTAAACTCAAGTCCACTCGTACTATCTTATTCATTATCTTTTTGTTCCCTATCATGTCATTCATCGTAATTAACAAAAGGGAATTGTTGAGTATTCGTCCTCACGGCCATCAGGCTTTGACTCCACCAGTCACGACTTGTCATTGGAACTTCGGGAATACTTCTCGAAGCTAGTCACCAACGAGTTGCGCTATATCGTGAGCTAGCAGAAGTTGGAAATATGGAGCATTGGATTCAAACCAGTGGATAGCTCAATGGTAACGCGCTGGTCGCGGAACCTGAAGGTCGCGGGTTCGATCCCTGCTGGTGGGGTCGTGGGTGCGCACTGCTGAGGAGTCCCATACTAGGACGAAACAGCTGTCCAGTGCTCCCAGGTCTCCTTTGTTCCTCCAACTGATGTCAGTCTACGATGAATAACAACTTGAAATATTTCCAAATCTCCACAACCCCTCAAAAAGAAAGGGAATTGATTTCCTTACAATCCTCAAATCTGATTCCATTTTGAAAATGTATTCATGTCTAACATGGTTTGATTTTATGCTGTACAAATATATTTTATCATTGTAGAACCTGAAGAGAATTTATTGAAAAGAATATTCTTTTTTCAGATTATTATATTACTCTTCATATTTTTTCGATTCAATATTCTATGTTTTTTTGTCTGTTATCTTATCAATTCATCATTATCAAGTTTTGATATTGTTATTGTATACTACTACTTATACTCATCTCCTTCCATTCAACTTTGATGACAATAATTTTACTGGTAAATCAACAGAGTAAAATTAATTGGTTGACATTTCTTATATGATAATTCGATAGAAATTAATGATCACTTTTTTAAGGAAGTTGTGGAGATTTGGAAATATTTCAAGTTGTTATTCATCGTAGACTGACATCAGTTGGAGGAACAAAGGAAACCTGGGAGCACTGGACAGCTGTGTCGTCCTAGTATGGGACTCCTCAGCAGTGCGCACCCACGACCCCACACCAGCAGGGATCGAACCCGCGACCTTCAGGTTCCGCGACCAGCGCGTTACCATTGAGCTATCCACTGGGTTTGAATCCAATGCTCCATATTTCCAACTCCTGTTAGCTCACGATATAGCACAACTTGAAATATTTCCAAATCTCCACAACTCCCTCAAAATTTAATTGAACTGGTGCTCATTGGTGACTAGCTTCGAGAAGTATTCCCGAAGTTCCAATAAGAAGTCGTGACCTGTGGAGTCAAGCCTGATGGTCATGAGGACAGATACTCAACGATGACATTGGGTAGCGGTTGCGCTATATCATGAGATCACTTTTTTAATCAAAAGTGAATGTTCAAATCTTAACAGAAATTCATAATGTGTACATAGTTGAATTTTCATAGATAATCGATTCTTTATACCTTTCTATGGATAGTATCAGAAAATAGTAAGTTGAATAACATATACACTGAAAATTCCCATCATGTAAATTAGAACAAGACATATAAGCGAACAATATTGTTTTCAATTAGATCCTCTTCACGCTTAACTCTAATACAAATAACTTAATATATATAAAATTAAACCAGTCATATAGATTTGTCGGTTGATGTGGCTGGAGAAGTTTTATACCGGAGACTCTCTACAGCCATTAAAACGACCTTCTACACCACACAACTTTGTCTATCATTTTCCAGTCGACCAATTGTTACTGCTCAGACAAAAGATAAGTTATCTAGTTTTACCATTTCTATGTGTATTTACAAGTTTAGCTGCTCCTATGGAGAAAGCTATATAGAGCGTACTACTAGACAACTTAACAAACATGTTGCTGAGCATCTACCTTCATGGTTGGGGGAAACGGATAGATAAAATCCATCAGAAGCTCAGTTTTATCTCACCTCGGTAGATAAGAACATTGCTTTCACGATTATACATCACATACCATCTCATCTTTCAAAAGGTATTCAAACTCGTCTTTTACATATGGCAGAAGCTGTGGGAATTCGAGCTAATAATCCTAGTCTTTGTATTCAGAAGAAGTTTATACATCCCTTATCTCTCCCTTGGCCAGGGATTACTTAGTTAATAACTTTATCACTCAGTTTTCATCATTATTATTATGATTCCTTTCCCTTTTCTTATTCTTCATCCCTTTCGTATACTTACTGTATTTGTCTAGGCTTTGTTTATCCACTTACTTCACCCTTCACTATTATGTAACTTTTATTTTCACAAGCACTTGACTCATTTTGATTATTGGAGTGTGTACATTTTCATGCTGCTATCTTGGTTCTTATCATCATCATCATTATCACCATTATCATCTATATTGCATTGCTTTAGTCAACGTTATCACTTTTACCAACTTCATTATTATCATTTGTATTATTATCTCCACCGTTATATGTAACATTTATCACATCAACGGTCAAATCTATATGATTGGTTTAACTCTTTACTTATATATTAAGCTATTTGTATTAGAGTTAAGCGTGAAGAGGATCTAATTGAAAACAATATTGTTCGCTTATATGTCTTGTTCTAATATATACTCAAGGCTTTATTTGTAGACAAAGAAGGATCGATCTTTTTAAAAGTAATGAAACAGAATATATCAAACATCATTGAAAAGTATGTTTTATAATAATGAAATTATGCTTGATAATATACAGTTTATATTCCTCCTTTTTATTTCTTATTTATTCCATATAAAAGAGTTATTGGTGTGTGTGTGTGTGTGTGTGTGTATGTGCACGCACGCGCTCTCCTTTATTCTTCTAGTCATCATTGAATGAACAGTTCGTATTCTTTTGAATGGATTCCATGGAACTAAGACTAAATTATTCTTCTTATTGAATTGATAGACTTAATGATTAGAATTTTATTGTAAATTCTCACTGATAATTTCAATATAATTACATTTAAGATATACCATTTATTAAATGTATAAATATCTCATTCTATTCTACTTTCATCTTATCTATTCTTTACTTTTATTAGTTAAATTAAAACTAATAAAAATGATGTTATCATTCATTGTTCAATGGATTCAATGATCAATTTTTGTATAGAATAGAATTTGAACTAACTGAATGATTTGTTGAAACATTCATATAACAACAACTTGCTGCCATAGCTGCTGCAGCGACAGCCGCTGCATTCAATTGACCACTTTCAATTTGTTCATGTGTAGAATCCTCTAAATATGTACAACATATGTTATCAAGTTTATTTTGATAGAATTTTGAACAAGAATAAAAATCTTTAATTGGATAACCTAAATAAGTTTTAGTATTATTATTATTCCAATCATTGTTTGAAGTAATAGAAGTTGTCTGTAAATTCTCTTTACTTAATTCATTAAAAAATGGCTTTTTCTCTGTTTGACCTATTTTATACCAATGTCTGAGTTTTAAAGATGAATCTTCTTTTAAATTCTTTTCAGTAATCATTGTAGTAGTAGTAGTAGTAGAAGTTGATGTCAGTAATCTAGAAAAATGTTCCAAATCTTTTCTTTTTTTAGCTTGAGTTAATTTTCTATTTCGTGTTTGAATAATTTCTTTCTTCATAGATAATGGTCGATTTATCTTGAACAAAAACATTAGAGAAATATATCAGAAAATTATGTTTGTACAAAGTAAAATATCATGTGTCATTAATAATCAATCTATGAAAAAATGAATATAAGTTAACCTGGGAGTACTGGACAGCTGTTTCGTCCTAGTATGGGACTCCTCAGCAGTGTGCACCCACGACCCCATACCAGCAGGGATCGAACCCGCGACCTTCAGGTTCCACGGCCAGCGCGTTACCATTGAGCTGTCCACTGGGTCAGAATCCAATGCTCCATATTTCCAACTTCTGTTAGCTCACGATATATATAGCGCCACCGCCACCCAATGTCATCGTTGAGTATCTGTCCTCACAACCATCAGGCTCGACTCCACCGGTCACGATGGTTGCGCTTTATATATCGTGAGCTAACAGAAGTTGGAAATATGGAGCATTGGATTCTGACCCAGTGGATAGCTCAATGGTTACGCTGTGGCCGCGGAACCTGAAGGTCGCGGGTTCGATCCCTGCTGGTGTGGGGTCGTGGGTGCGCACTGCTGAGGAGTCCCATACTACGACGAAACAGCTGTCCAGTGCTGTCAGGTTTCCTTTGTTCCTCCAACTGATGTCAGTCTTCGATGAATAACAACTTGAAATATTTCCAAATCTCCACAACTCCCTCGAAATATAAGTTAAATTTGTTATTCAGCTATTCAAAAAGAGAAGTAGTTTATCAATTCATACATAATAGTTATAGTTACAGGTAACAGTTCTTGTAATGATACTTGCACAGCAGTTAGCTACTGTGCCCCAGTGGTTTAGTTGATAACGCTCTGGTATTTAAAGTGAAGAGAACTGGGTTCGAACCCCCGTGGGGACAACATCGCTCACTTAGGTGCAAGTACACGCAGCTATTGAGTCTCAGATAGGATGAAACGTGCATCTTGGATTCATCTACTAGTCACCAGGATCAACATGACATCATGAATATTCAGCATTATCGAAGCATCTGCATTGGAATCCATCTGCCAAAAGCAAAGGTTAAGCAATTTGGCTTTGTATAGCGCCGGAAAATTGAACTGATCACGCTTCATTTGGTCAAACTGAATGGATTTCGGAAGAAGTATAATTTATTTCAATGTGATAGGTAGAAAAGAGAAAACTGATTGATTTTATTTCAACGCCCTACCCACGGGATATTTGCTTGAGGCTGATCATACACAGCCGTTTTAAGAGTCTTGGGTTGACATATGATTCTTTCACTACCAAATAAAGTTCATACAGCTGACACCAGAGGGCTTTAGGACTGGGAAGAGTCTGCCTTGTTTTTGTGTCGCTATTTTATAATAATCATCCTCAAAGAGAAGTCAGGATTGGCATAGATTGCTGGTTATCCGTGAAAACACCTTCAACCTCGCAACATAACATAACCTACTTACACTATAATGGTAATTGCTTTTTATCTTATCACTATCCAACAGAAAATGTTAGTGTATTAAAACCTTAAGCAATAGTCGTTCAAGTGAATGTAGCCTTTTGAGTAATTATTATATACATGTCTGACCACCATGCCACTGGTTGAACCTTACTTCAGAAGGTTGTTTCAAAACTGAAACGATCCAAACCAGCAGGACGTAATGATTTGCAACCAGAAGATTCTAAAAAATGAGACAGAAAATTCCTTGATAGACTAGCCAAGGTGTCGTCGAACTTTTCTAGATCATTGATTATTCCACTTTTTGGGGAAGAAAAGAAGTTTTTATGGGGAAAACATAGGATACAAAGTTACACAAACATGGCATCTGAGATCGCGGGAGTCATAGTTATATGAAAACTGACTGGAGCTCGACGACAGCAAACTCGAGAAAACCAGGCGGATTTCACATCTGGATGACGCGGCATCGGTAATATTTTCGCCTTTTCGTTGAACACAATCATACCTACTGGATGCCAACACTTAAAATGTTTCCCTGACCTCAAGTTAGTATGCAGTTTAGTAGACCGTGAGGTGTTGTGTCAGTGTATGAGTGTTAAGAGATTACTGAGGGACTACTCAATGATAACTAAAGTTCTGTACTCGAACACAAGCAGTTATGTAGGTGCTCATTGAGAATTGTCATCTGAATTGATAACAACCAATGGTATCTGTCAAAAATATCTATTGGCGGTCTGCTTAAACCTCTGGGCTACCAAATTTTTCCACCCTATATATTGGATCACGTTTACCCTGTCTTAAAGTAGTTCAGTTATATACTAAAATAGTATTAAGTAATCAACCGAATTTCTAGAAAGTTTTCAACCGGTTCATCTTAGATGAGTCGATTTGATACATCTCACAGTGATAAATTTTTTACTATACGATGATTTGAGCAAACTTAACTGAATCAATGTGTTCTATATCAAATAAACTAATGTAGTATGGAATTACATTCCATCGCGAAGTCCAAATTCTACGCTTACATTATTTTCAAACTATCGTTATGAAACTGGCGAATTTAATAAAGAAGAAGTCCTGTGGTGGATGATGCAGTATTATTATTCGTCTCTTGGGTTCCTTGTGGAACATAGGGCTTCAGTAACACATTGCCATTTCACTCTCTCCTCTACAGGCTTTTCAACCTTACTCCATCACTGCCCACAACCTTTCATTTCTCACTCACACAATCTTCTCCATGTCACCCTCACCTCGGACACCCAACTCATCATTTCCCATGCGGGTTCTACTCGAGGACCCGGACTCGCCTTGCCTTGCCTGGTGTGGTCTGGTCTGACGCGTGACATCCCCAATCTGTCTTCTCAGTGTATGCCCAATCAACTCCAATCCATATCCACTTTCTTCGTATACTTGTTGGGCGATGGCTTCTTGGTTGTCTCCTCAACACCCAACAGAGTTGCTTGTTGCTTATTCTCATCATTCTGGCCATCTGATCTCATCTTCAGTGTTGAGGCATCGTAGATGGCAGCTGTTGATTATATATGTGTCTGTAGTTTGTTCAGAATGCTTCGCGTGACACGCCAAGTTTGTGAACCATATGGTAGCACTGACATGACTGACACTAGTGTTGAGAATCCGGATGTTGTTCAGGCATTATGCTGAGTGGAGTACAGTGCAGTGTAGTAGATGTCCACACTGATTTCAGATTGATGCAGACGTGTCATGCTTTTCCGATCCTGGCATTCACATTGTCGTGTGTTTCGCTGCCTGTAGTTGTAACGATGGTGTCTTGTCTATGTAGGTGGAAGAGATAACTTGCTTTAGATTTCTCCTGTTGATGGTGATTGGTGCTTGTTGTTGTTGGTAAAGATCCAGTTGACTGCCATTCTTTAGTCTGTTCTGTAATTATGCGTAGCGTTGCGATTTGATCGTCATATGGCTTGTTTTTCCTGAATCCAGGCAGCCTGTTCCAATCGTAATTTTGAATCCAGAGAATTATTTGGTCTCTCTAGGTTGATGCAGCTCAATATTTTGATTAGGGTGGATAGGAGAATAATTCCGCGCTAGTTCTTAATCTTGTAGACTTAGGTCTCCCTTCTTTGGGAGTTTGACAAGGTAACACTTCCAGTCGGCTGGTAGAAATACCTTTCCTTCCTTCTTTCCAAACCTTCTACAATAGTGGTGTGAGCGTGTCTGCTATTATCTCTGCGTCTGTTTCCAGTGCTTCTGGTGGGAGGATGACAGAATGCTGTCAAACAAAGAGGCTGCATGAAATGGCACTCTGAAATATTTGTTTCGAACTACAGTTGTCTACTGGGTAAAGTGGACTACTTATAATGGTTTGCTATGTTCGAAAGTTTACCACATTACTTTTGAGGCAATATTATAATAAACTTGGTTAGAAAATCTATATGACTACAGTTTGGTCCGTTTAAATGGTGGTGGAATGTTTCACCAAGATCGGTGTATTTTAACAGGTGTACCTTCCTGGTGACATGACGTTTGAGAAGCCTGTCTGCACTACGTTGGCAGAACAAACTATACAACCCTTACAAATTTAACCAGCACTCAGCAAACTGTCGGACGTAGCAAAGCTACAGCAGGTGAGTGTAATGATCTATTGGGCTGGAATCCTCCGAGTACCTGGATCCTATATGTAAGACCTAGAGGTGATGGAGAAGAAATCAATTATAAGGCAGATATCGAATACTTCTATCGACACCAAGTGATGTTTATTGAATTGACCGACTTCTTAGCTCCCATAAAATGTGGTTCACTGTCAGTGGTGTACAATAACTTTACCTGTTTTGATTGCAACTTTCTGTGTTCCATTGATCGCGGGAGCCTAGTCAGTTTTGCAACTCGTTTAATGCCACAATAGACTTGGTTGTTGGTAATGAAATTAGTGTATATGAAACTTAGAAACAAGAACCGTTATTGAACTCAGATTACTCTGTTATAACTGTTCTGTCAAACGTATTTGGCAAAACTACAGAAAATTACCTTGTCATAGTAATCTAAGAAGACTTTACTTAGTGGATATATACATGACAACATACTCAAAGTCAGAAACATGTTACAAAATGCAGAATGGATCATGTTTGATATTACGTTGATATATATTGTCTGACTAAAATACTTTTTCTAAGATTTAATAGAATTTCTTCGCCTTAATTGAAGAAACTGTGAAGAGAGAGAAACTGTAAAAAATCGAATTGTAAAAAGATTTAACTGCTTGATTAAGTTTAAAATAAAACGCTTAAACTTATTTTAAAACAAGAGAATAATGTTACATTTTTTGAAAACTCTTCTAGTATATGGGAACTTTATAAAGATTTTATTGGTAGGAGAGAACTCAGTAACGAAACCTGTAAAGATGTAGGTGTATTAAACCAGTCATTCATAAGCAAATCTGCCCATGGTAACTTATCTAGTTCACACACACACAGACACACACACACACACACCAAAAGGCAGTTCTCTCAAATTCAGTAAAACAGATGAATTCACATGCTTAAAATTACTAAAGTCTTAAAATATCTTTAGACTAGATGGCATACTAAGTATTTTTTTATCTAGTGAATGTACTGATATTCTATGTCATCCAGTCACAAGCATTTTTAATGAAACCTATACAAAGAATGATATATCAACCGGTTGGAAAGAAATTAAAATAGCACCGATAAGCAAGTCGAAATCTTTTGGAGCAGGTGTAAACTTCTGACCAATTACAAAAACTTCAACATTCCTGAAAAAAAAAAGCGAAAATTATTACTTCATGTGCTTGAACTTCTTTTAAAGACTTTCTGTAATCCAAATCAGTTTGCCTACAAACCTAGAAGGAATACTTTAGATGTTACAGACGTTTTACACCATAATACTATTGCTAATCTGGATAAAGATGCTTAGTTTGTTCGATCTGCCTTTTTAGACTATAATTCAACCTTTAATTTTATTCCTTATTGAACTCGTATCCTAGTTCGCAAAGTGACTTCATTCTTATTTTTCTGAGATAAAAAGTCATAAACTTTATACACAGGGAAGTGCTCTACTTCACTGCTTAGTAAAGCTAGTGTGCATTTTCTTTTAGTACGACTTAACTTCCTCAAATAAAACTAATGTTCTTAAGTATGTGGATAACCTGACACTAATCATGTCCATCATTTCTTCTTTAAATTATCAGTTTGATTACTGGTCTTCCTTGAGTAGCCTCATATCCAATCCTTCCAGTTAGTTAATTTCAGCTTAAGATGTGAATAAGACCTATATGAACTGATTCAATTCCATGATACTTGTATTACCTGTATTTCTGTAGTACAGAATGTATCACGCATTACATATCTTGGTGCATGTTTCTCTTATTGTCTTTTTGAATCTACCTCCATTCTATTGATTTCGAAGAAAGAAACCTTTATTTGACTATTTATGTTAGGAAACTGCACCCATTTGGTGTAGCTTAACAATTAGTTTTACTCCTCAGCGGTACGCACCCATGACCCCACTAGGGATCGAACTCAGGACCTTCGGGTTTCACGGCGAACGCGTTAACCATTCAGCCACTGGGTCGGTTTCCAGTGGTTTACAATTTCCATCTTCTGTCAATTCAAGACGTCGTGAATGCGTACTGCTGAGGAGTCCCATACTAGGACGAAACTGCTGTCCAATACTCCCAGATTTTCAGTAGTTCCTCAACTGATGTCAGTCCATGATGAATACTACTTCTAAATTAAAAAATCCCCATTCGTCTCAAAAAAAATTAGTTTTACGTTTCGTTAGTTCCTACTTTTCAAGAATTCTAACCTACTGTTCTGCCTAATTCTTTCTTGGACTACAGAGAAAAGACTATGCTGTATTGTGTAGAACTTTGAAGGTTGCTAATAGAGTGAATGGTGTACCACTATTAGGACAAGACAGAGAACTCCATCCTGGTGATAATTTTATAGTAAGAAACTACCAGGGTAAAAGTCTGCTGAAATGGAAGTAATAAGATTTTGAGATCATAGGGGACTAGGCGTTGTTGGTTCAGAAATCTTGAGAATACACATACATCAAATAAGACCAGCACATCATAATCAGATTAAAAGTGATATTTCTCTCATTCCCATACTCGATCCGTTACTGGGCAACCCATAGTAGTCTGAAACCTAATCGCGATCTCCAAGTAGTAAGAAGAATTGTCAGGATTCTATTGATCTGAAGCCACCACATCGTCAAATAATCTGCTTCAGAAAAATCATCAAGAAGATCCAGTTGAGTCCACAGCAGCCCTGTTACTTATAGTTATCTTTTTAAAGAGAGAGGTGTCATATAGTGAGACAATATCCCCCAAGTTCCTCAAAGAAACATGAAATTTCCTGAAAAACCTTCACAAACAATCAAGGATGCCGAATGTTCGTGAAAAACCACTTGATTATGAGTGTGAGTTTCACATTGGCCAAAAGGTTTTCTGAGAAAGTGTAGAACGTATCATGGGTATTTAAAACATGTATAAACCGTTACTTTTTGTACATGTTTGACTTGACAGTTAAACTTTTATCGTTTTGCTGCTTCTTTAGATTTTCGAGGAACCTGGCTACCCTCAAGGGTGGAGCGTAAGGTTACCGTTCAAGAGTTCACTCATATATGTATATATATGTAAGGTGATATCTGCGGACTGGTCCGTAATCAGTCCTAGTTCCAGTTTAAGGATATGGAGTGAGGTTTTAGATTATGTTGACCACTTCATTTACATGTGAAGTTGCATCACCCTGAACAAATTGGTTTTTGATGAAATCTTAGCTTGGTTACAGAAGGTCTGGTTGAAGATTGCCAACCTGTATCAACTCTGGTACTGGCTAGAGAGATATCTGACTACCCATCAAAGGAAAAACATACTTCCGTGTCCAGCTATACTGTTGTGAAACATTGCCGTTGAAAGTGGACGTGAAGAGATCACATGGTTATGGGCACAGGTTTCTTCTCAGTATTGCTCATGTATGGTGGAATTATCATGTGAGCCATGTTGAGGTTAGATGAAAGTTACTAGGCAATAAATATTAGCTGGTTGGTGAAACATTCAGTAAATATCAAAAAACAATCAAACTTACATGGTGAAGTTTGTAATAAAGACCGCATGCATTGCACACTGAATCACCTTGTTGATTACGTCTCCATAACGTTGTATGTGATGTACGACAATTTGCACAAAATGTGCCAATTTTACGATTTGCTGACTTGATTAATGTTAAATAAAAACAGTATAAAAGGAAGAAAAGTGAATACAACATTGTGCTATCATATTATAAAGTGTCGAAATGAAATAATGTTTAGTGTGAAACTGCTTACCAGTCAAAAGCGATTTTATACTCAGTACTCAGTTGCAAATATCATTATCAGTGAATATAATAGAATGAACAATCTGTAAATGATTTACAAATTACTCGGTCTATACTAACATTCCTCATAGCTGAGTAGTTTTTCAACTGTGGTATCGACAGGGTGCTTAGATCTAGCCGGTGAAATACTACAAATTAGACTGAGAGGTTTTCAACTACTCAAGTTTTTCATTAGTAGTATCTTTCTCCAAAGGTGAATAATAACCTGTAGAATGGTAAGTAGTATTAGAGAAGGTTTGTTAGTCCTTATCATTTGAAAAATTCACTAGTAACGTTGTTGACTATGACACTGTATAACGTGGGTTCAAATATCAGGTTAGTCATCAGTTGCTTCAAAATTGTAGGCATGACTTGGTGACCAGTACCGATAGGCAAGAAATCGATTCTCTCTCACCAACTAACAAAGAGAAAGCACTTAGAACGTGTTGAAATGTCTGACTTAGAGGTGACATAATGTGAACGAGTCTGAGATCATCAAATACTCGAAACTTTCAAGTAATACGTCATTATAAAGATAAAGTTCGACCTTGTCTTTAGGTAGATAAAACCATAGGTTATCTTTCCAAACCATGTAGAACTCCAACTCAGTCTTTGGTAATCTTGAAAATGTATCCTTTCTCTTTCATTTAATAATCAGGTATGCTTTTCTTAGAAAGTATAGAATAGAAAGTGAATTTTAATATAAAAATTACAAGTCAATGTTAAATTGGGACTAGAAAATTCGAAAGAATAACCTAAGTAAGCTGAAAGTTATCTCTCGTTTTCTGACGAATATATCTAGCTCAGGGTTTGAATATCCCAAGTGACTTATTCTCTGAGCCTTAGTTTTAGTTGGTGAACATTTCAACGTCATGCTAGATATCGTCATCAGTACATCAGGGTTCTATAAGTGAGGAGGTGGACAAAACAGTCTTTGGTCGTTTATACTTAGAGTATATTCACCTTTCTATATTTCTGTTTAAACCTAATCACTATCAGGAGATATGACGTCAGGTTTTTTTAAAATCAATCTGTCGTAGATCTGAAAAATAGGTATTTCTTTTTTCACAGATTATGTTTAACTTAAATGTAATAAATACCCAATTAATATACCGTATAGCCTGTTATCTCTAAAGTAATAGTTATCTGAAAGTGGCTTTCACTATGGAGTAACATCAGTTGGAAAGCGATGGAAAATTTAGGCGCATGGGATAGTTGTTTCGTCTAAATTTAGAAATCAGTAGTTCAGACCCACCACTCTATGAAAAATTGAGTCCAATATCATCAAGTTTCACGTCAACCACGTCATCATTGATACAGCCACTGGAGTTAGAATCTAATGGACCATTATTTTCTGCAACTATCAATTTGCAATGTACCATTATTATCATTATTATTTGCCTCTAGGATTCCTAGTGGAACATACGGCTTCAGTAGCACATCTTCACTGCACTCTGTTCTCTGCAGTCTTTTGAACCCGGCTCCATCACTGCCCATAACCTTTCATTTCTTCCTCAAATCATCTCATCCATGTCAACCTCTCCTCGGATACCCAACTCGTCGTTTCCCCTTAGGATTCCACACGTGATGTCCCTAATCAGTCTTCTCAGTGTATGCCCAATCAACTCCAATCCATATCCACTTTCTTCGCATACTTGTTGGGCGATGGCTTCTTGGTTGTCTCCTCAACACCCAACAGAGTTGCTTGTTGCTTATTCTCATCATTCTGGCCATCTGATCTCATCTTCAGTGTCGAGGCATCGTAGGTGGCAGCTGTTGATTATATATGTGTCTGTAGTTTGTTCAGAATGCTTCGCGTGACACGCCAAGTTTGTGAACCATATGGTAGCACTGACATGACTGACACTAGTGTTGAGAATCCGGATGTTGTTCAGGCATTATGCTGAGTGGAGTACAGTGCAGTGTAGTAGATGTCCACACTGATTTCAGATTGATGCAGACGTGTCATGCTCTTCCGATCCTGGCATTCACATCGTCGTGTGTTTCGCCGCCTGTAGTTGTAACGATGGTGTCTTGTCTATGTAGGTGGAAGAGATAACTTGCTTTAGATTTCTCCTGTTGATGGTGATTGGTGCTTGTTGTTTTTGGTTGGATATCTTCATTTCTTTGTTACTTACCAACCATTATTCTGAAATTAGTATGTAACTATTCAACGATTCATCCTGCCGTTAAAATATCTCAAATTTCAGAATATCTATTTGAATTATGAACTATTCCTGGTCATATCAGAATACATATATGTTATAGGTGTGTGAAAAGAGTATCTTTGTTTTGAGATGGTCAAGAATCCCAGCTGAATGCAGTGGCCTGCTTGCACCTTGGGTTACTAAATTTATTCATCGAACATTTTTCATCAAATTCTTTCTTTTCAGTTTGTTTTAATCCTTTGAATGTGTTTTTTGAACATATCATGTACTCTAGCACATTTTTAAACTGTTTTCAACTCTCCGTTTCTCAAGTCAATAACAAAGCAGGGGAAAATGTTACGTTATATGGAAATGGACATTCCCGTGCACAAAAGTACTTTGTATTTCTATCCGTAAGGTGCTTAGCTTGAGTTAGAGAGTTGCATACTGTCTGAATGAATCGCCACCATTATGGACCAGATGCCCTTCGAGAACCCACTGGTTATTTTGTATTATTGCCTTGAAGACTGTTATTATTAACATCATTCCGATGCAATAACCACTTCCTCTGATAGTATTCGTCTGGGAGGTGAATTTGTTGAGAAATTATATGTTGAGAATTTCATATTGTCATACTTATAGTTTGGAATAAAGTGATTATCATTGAAATAAAAAAACAGCAGGTATAGTTAATCGTCTTCCAGTATGCAGTATTCTGTATCTCTAATAACAATCAGTTGTAATGATGAAATGAGTTACCTACAGTCAATTCATTTATCTTTGGAATCAGCAAAATACAGTAATGTGAACATAATCTTAGTCTTTATTTCAATTAAGGAAACAAAGAATATTCATTGGCATAGAATAGCATGATGTGATTTTATTTCAGAGATTCTCAACAGTTACTTACAACTTATAATAAGTAAACATTTGACTGACGGGTCACAAGTAGGATGATACCAGCTTCCTGAATTCCCCTGCTAGCCGTAACCAAGTCCATTATATCGAAATGGAAGGGAAATAATCTGTTGAGTGTGCTGATGAAATGAGATAGATGTCGGTTAGTTGACAAGGATGAATTTTGTAGGAAAAGGTTACGTGATGAGGTGTCAATCTTGCGACCAGTTGATGCATACATTCATATTTAGCTAAAAGACCTGATGTGATTAACCTGAGTATGACTGAATGGCTGATAAACTTGACTTCTTGCCCTTAACTAACTGATGGATTAGTTCTATCTGAACATTTGTGGAGGTCTAATAATTGATTTTAGGTTTGAATTCATCAGTTATTAAACCTACACAAACCTCCAGATAGGATTAATCTAGCGCTCATTGGTAAATAGCTTTTAGAGGTGATTCCCAAATTTCCAATGAGAAGTCGTGACTAGTGGGGTCAACCAAGTTGGATATGAGAACAGTTACTCAATGATGGCATTGGATGTTGGTCGCGCTATATCGTGAACTGACAGAGGTAGGAAGTGTAGATCATTGGATTCCGACCTAGTGGCCCAATGGTAGAGTGTTGTCCACAGAAGCTGAAGATGCTGGCTTTGATCCACAGGGGGCGAGGTCATGGGTGTGCACTGCTGAGGGGTCCATACTAGGACAAAACAGCTATCCAGTGCTCCCATATTTCCAATGTTTCTTCAACTGATTTCAGTCCATAGTGATGGACTAGTTGTTTTACCGCAAGTACTGACTAATTAGTGACTAGAATTATAAAATGTCAGGAGCTTTTGGGGGTTTCATAACTTTCTCTGTCTAAAATGTGTAGACATTTTTTGTAGCTTCTTCAATACTATGCATAGTTAGCTAATTTGAGCATCACTACACCAATTACAGAAGGGTATGGTTAATCAGTTAGTATTTCTCAAGTCTGTGCATATATGCTTCAGTAGTGTGGTGACCTGTATTTCGATCCTTATCGAACTTCGTCAGTGACATAAGTGTCTTGAGCTCAGAAAGCATTTTATTTAGGATTTTCTAAAAGAATATAAAATTAAGTTTCACGATGAGTGTGTTCAGGATTACAAACGTTCAACATCAGCCTTTATAACTAGTTGGAGTCGTGAAATACTACTGTTCTTCTAATGACTGGTGTCGGAAAATAGGGAAAAATAGCACCTTTCAGTGGTAAGTTGCTTTTGAGTTCCAACTCAAACATGAAGACATCTACTCAACGACGGCATTGGATGTAGGTCACGCTATATCGTGAACTGACAGCTGACCATGAACATGAAGGTCCTGGGTTCAATCCTTGGAGGGCAGGGTCATGGATGTACACTGCCGAGGGATCGCAACCCAGGAAGAAATAGCTGTCCAGTGTTCCCAAGTTTCCAATATTCCTCTAACTGATGTCAGTTCATGGTCAATTGCAACCTAATTAGTCTTTATTTCAATTAAGGAAACAAAGAATATTCATTGGCATAGAATAGGATGGTATGATTTCATTCCGGAGATTCTCAACAGTTACTTACAACGTTACTTACACGTCATAAGGATGCGTTGGAGAAATTTGGCGGTTAAAATAAATTCATTTTGAAGGTTTGTGAAGATTTCATTGATTTCAAGTTTGTACTCACTGAAGACTGATAGTAGTTGATGAACCATTGAGAGCCTATTGTGTGACTCTTCAGTAGTGCACACCTATGACTCCACCGGGAAGGTCTGGACTATTAGATTATGTCCCAGTGGCTCAGTGGTAACATCCTGGTCAAGAAAGGTACTTAGCTCCGTACCTTATGAGGTCAGAATAAAGCTTTGCAAAGTAACCAATACATCTGTTGCCTCTTACTAGTCCACTTTAAAGAAGATAACTTTGCAGAAAATTTTGAATACTGTCGAAATCAACTTAGTGGTTTTATGAAGGTGATTTCCTTTTAGCTTAATTCATATAATATGAACTCTCGTAAAAGTTATTCATTGTTGAAATTACTCTACGATATTGTCTCTACTGGCGTCTATTTATAACCAATTTTAGTCCTGTAACAGCTCTATGCTTCATTCGGAAAAAATTTAAGAAATAAAGTTTAAAAAATGATGTATTACCATACGACGTTTTGGTTTAATTAATGGTCGATTCGTTCCATTCATTTTATGATAAAGGCCACATGCATTGCATAAATAATGTCCAGCTTCATCTCTTCGCCATAATGGTGTTTGAGTAGCTCCACAGTTTACACATTCTCGACCGTCTATAAATGAAAATGAAGTAATATAGTACTGATTGACAATTAAGTATACAGTTAGTGAAATGCCAATAAACATGTGAATAGGTTTAGTAATAATCAGATGATAATATTATACAGGATTACGTCTGAGGTTCTCATTGAAATTACTGACCAAAAACCCAGTTGGTGAACTGCAATACATCGATCTAGACTGAAACCTTCAGTTCTTCATAATTGAAACCTTTTATGTGAAAACATGTCTTTCTCTTTCAATGTGTGAAATACACCCATTAGGATACGAGAGAAGAGTAGGTATTTCAGCAAAAAGTCTTCTCTTTTTTGATGATGCAGAGAATACGAAAACATATAGCCATTTGGAAGGCTACTTTTCACTTCATAGTTGAATTTGAACGAGGAGGTTCTTGGGATAGGGTGATTCATCTTCACAATATGTTCAGTTATATCACTCATTATTGCTCCATTGTTACCTTTCTGTAACCACTCATGATAATATTCTTGAACACTTCTGGACAACAGTCACATGGAACGACCTATATACCTGGCTGCACAAGAGCAGATGAATTGATATATGCACATAGAAGTGGCCAGATGTGGAAGTTTCTCCTCTGTGTTGTTGGAGGTGGTTGGGCGACAAGAGAATACTAGTTTCAGCATTGATGCAAAGAATGTTCTCCTTAGAGAGTTTGATATCCACCTTTTCAGAGTGTCGGCGGTAGAATCACCTTTGAAGTTTAGATTCATAGAGATTGTCTTTTCTGACATGGTGGTAAGGTTTACTTTATAAAGTCCAGGCTTTGTGTCTTTGTCTATGGAGCGTGGTAAAGTTCTTTAGAATAGAAATTCCCTCTTCTAACACATCAGGACTGCAGATCCGTCTAATACGAGTGGCAAGAGATATGGTCAGATTTTGCTTACTACTCATAGGTAACCAGCTATTAAAGTTCGTCAGTTGACCATTCCACACTAGTTTTCTATGAACTGACCTACTTAACGTTCCATCAGTGGTTCTTATCAGCTCTACATCAGGAAAGGGAATTTCCGACCGCAAGAGTGAATCTAATTGCTGAATGGCAGTTACTGAATATTTGTAGAACATGATCCAAACCATACTGATGATCACAGATAATAAAAGGATCGTCCATGCACCTTTTGTACCGTTGAAAACCTTCAGCAGTTGATTTCAAGGGCCTGTTCTCCAAACTGGTCATAAAGCAGTCTGCTAATAGTGGACCTAATGGGAATCCTGTGACGATTCCATCTTTCTGTCTATAAATCACGTCATTAAATGTGAAGTGAACGTTGAATGTGTATCGAAGTGACAATTCCTTAAGGCGGGACGTCAATATCTCAACATCTATGTTGTTATCTTCTATATATCTGCATAACAATGAGATTGTTTCGGCAAATGGAAGATTGGTAAAACGTGACTCAATATCAACTGATATCATACATTTGTCAGATACGTCTTCGTCTCTTATGCAGTCAACAAATTCAAAATTAGCACAAAGAAAGCGACTGGTGATTCCTCTTCTTACTGGCTCTAGGATTTTGGCTAGCCATTTCGCCATTTACGTTAGCTAACGATGAATTTCAGTCAGCTTTGATTCACTTTTCGTAAGGATAGTTAACTTCTTCTTATACATCAGCAAAATACAACTACTCTTTAAGAAAATGCTGCTTCAACTACTACCGTTCAACGTGGTTTATTTCATGTTTTCATATCAAAGATACATAAGAATCCTGAAAACACTGTATGCATAATGTTTCACCCTGGAACTATTCATCAATGTCTACTCACAACCTTATTGGTAATGAAATTCAAAGCTTCCAGTTTTCGTTTAAAGCATATTGCTATTCAGTCACTGAATATGGATCCAGTTGTTCACATTTTATCCAACCTGTGTTAGTTTGTGATATTATGTGACTACCATTCGGTGTCGCCAGTGTACATGTATCCTCAGACTGAAATCAACATGTATGATGAATGTGGGACAATGAACTAAAATCCACTGATTGAATGGTAAGATACTAACTGTTAGACATCATGATTCTGGGGTAAGTGAACTTTACTGAGAAACTTCTAACTAGGATGAACCATATGTTCTGTGCTCCCTGGTTTTCATTAGATTTCCAGCTGATATGATGTAAACTATTCTGAAATCACCAATACTACTCAGGAATTACCAGCGTTAATAACACTAACTGGCTTGAAGTTTAATAAATACTAAACGGTTTTTATTGGAGTAGAAACTGAGGTTTATAAGAGAATTTAACTCCATAACAGATTTATTCACTTCGGATGACACAAATCTCCATAATAAATAACTAGGTATCACTAGATGCTATCTTAAACTGAGAAATTGGTGTTGGGAAGGACCACAATGTTACAACATGGATTCGATACAGCTAAGTCCGCACCTCTGAGATAAGCAGCTTGGTGTGTACCTACAGAGTTCTGAAATCAACTCGTGAACATGACTGAAGACATGTTACAAAAGGGTATCATCACTCTTTCTCATTCTCCATGGGCTTCTCCTATTGTTTTAGTTAAGTAGATGAGGGTGGACTCCGTCTGTGTGTAGACTATAGGAAGTTGAACGCTGTCACTAGGAAAGATTCATTTCTAATGCTGCGTGCGCATCGATGAAACTCTAGAAGCGCTAGCAGGTTCGTGTTGATTTTCTACTTTCGATTTAACTTCCAGTTATTGGTAGGTGGAGGTACATTCTAACGACCGACTAAAAACAGTGTTTATTATCCCGACTGGGTTATATGATTTCCAAACTATGCCTTTTGGATTGACGAACACTCCTGCAAAATTTCCAGTGTCTGATGTATGCAGTTCCTAAAGATTTGATATCCTGAATACGTATAGTTTACTTAGACAATATTATAGTATTCAGCAGTACGGTTGAAGAGCGTGTGAAAGGATTACGTTAAGTTTTGCAACGGTTGAAAGATGTCAGACTTAAAACACAATCTTTTAAATGCGTCAGGAGGTTAAATTCTTTGGTCACGTTGTGAGATCACTGCAAGTAGGTAGCGATCCTGCAAAAGTGGATGCCATTGATGGCCTGTTCCAATATGTGTAAACGAGTTGCATAGCTTCTTGGAATTAGAAACTTTTTATCGCCTCTTCGTGAAAAACTTTTGAAAATTGCAAGTCATCTTACCCATCTGACAAGTAAAAACGTCCCATTCAGTTGGCCAGTCGATTACCATGACGCATTTACGCAAGTGAAAGACTCCTTGGGTTTTGGCTTCAGTTTTAGCTTTTCCTGATACATCTGCTATTGGTGACAGTCATATCTTGGAAGCAGTCATCAGTGCAGATGGTAAAGAGTACATAATTGAGTATGAGTCGTACTATGAATAAAAAAGAGAGAAACTATTGTATAACATTCAAAGAAATGTTGGCGGCCATGACATTTATACGAATGTATAGACTTTATCTTTTGGGGAGGAAATATATTCTTCGTATAGATCATAAAACACTTCAATCGGTTGCAGAATTTTAAAGATCCTGAAGGTCAAACAGTCAGTAGCAAGAATACCTATAAGAGTATCATTATGAATATGTACACGGACCCGGACGACAACATACTATGGCGAACCCGAAGCTTTATCTAGACGATCGTTCCGAGCACACGGAGATTGCCTGTCGTCTACCAAAATAGCAGTGTGTACGGTATCGTTAGGACTTGAGAATGGGAAGTTGGTTATCCTCCAGTGACCAATCAATGTGAAGTTTGAACTACTCAGCTAGTTCGAGGGATTTTTCATGTTTTTTAAGCTAGCTATTTTACACTTATTGACTGCATATCTTTCAATCAAGTGGACCTTTTGAAGTGAGTAAGGATAGTAATTCTGTTATAGTCATCGTTTTTTGAAGTTTCACAATACCCATATGTATTGAACACATTGAACTAATGATGTAGTAGGGGATAAACTAACCTGCTAAACTCTTAGCTTTGTTTCTTAATTTACTAGCTAACGAAGAAATCTGTAACATTTGAACAGTTGTAGCTGGATCTAAACCATGGAATGCAACAGCAGCTGCTGTTGCAGTTGTCAAATCGGCAATATTTGTTCTTATACAGTTTGTTGTATTTAATATGGGTAAGGTCAATGTTCTTGAAACTGTAGGCTGGCATATCATATTTGTGTTGATTGGTGAAATGTTTAAATTCACTTTGTTGTCTGATGTAACTATTAGATTCTTAGTGAAAACATCATTTATAAGGCTAAAATCAGTTGTATTACTATTACTGAATGCATAGTCAACTGTACGCAAATGGTTTGTATTGAACATTGAAAATGTATCCGACTGTTTTGCTTCATCATTACGATCATTAACATGAGTAATGTTGTGGTTATATATTGGACTAAAGTCTGTACATGTTGCAGGATAATGATTGTTTGTATGATAAATACCCATATTATTATTAGTAGTAGTATTAGTATTTAGATGATGTATTCCAGAAATAAATGGTTGCTGTAGTACTTCAGACTGATCATTTATTAGTGGATCAAATAAATTTGTTGGTATATCTGTTGAATTCTGATCAGTATTCACTTGTGATTTTGGTATATTTTTATGCGTTGGAGACACTTGTTCAGCTAAGTGTTTCTGATCATTGGGAAGACAGTGAGAATGATGTTGGTGGTTATTGCTATGGTTATTATTACTAATATTATGATGACTTCGGTTGGATGACATTGATACTTGTTGATCTATCCATGAACCAAAGTTTGAAATTGATTTATTCCAAGATGAATCAATAGTAGACTGGATTGAAGATGTAGACCTGAGTAAAAAGAAATAATAACAATAAGAGGGAATTTAAATAGTACATCGGTAAATGCTTTCGCACACGCCTTTTAATGATGATTGGTGAATTGAAGTAAACATAAAGTATAATCTACTTGGTATCGGTTAGCAGTGGAATTCAGGACGTACCTTTTGCTGTATTCAGGAGCCATTCAGCTAGATACCTGCACCCCAGTGAGTGATGATATTCCTACCGAGACTCCAACCCTGTGCCCATCACCTTAAACACAAAACCGCTATCCAATAGACCACTGAGGCAATAGGACCACTTCTTGTCCAGCAGGTACTATTAATTATTGTTATTATAATTATTATCTGGTACTTGTAGTTTGCCTATTTCATACCGAACAAGAAGCGAATCCTGGATTCCACTGCTAGCCACTACCATGCATCAATAATCAGGCAATATCGAGATATCCGTGTAGGAGTTCATATACAAACAGACGTTAATCAGTATAATAATGGGAAATTATTCGTATTAACAAACAATATTATAGACGAAGTACTTTGCTAATTTTTGGTTTCATACTGATATTGTTTTCAACTGCCTAACTGAGTTGTCAACAGGATTTCCATTAGAAACTACAAGTCAGTCAAGATCATGAGGTGTGATTTCTAACACAGTAATATCATAAACCAGTGAAATATACTACTGATGAATAACTTGAGTAGTTAGAAAGCATCCAGAGTGATTAAAGTCTCTTAACCTTTCTAGAACAGGAAATTAATGTATTGCACGATCTTTGGTTGATCAACCATATATGAAATGTATTTTACGCTAAAAATAATATAGCAAAGCATATCGTGCATTTATTTTCACAAAATTACAATATGAAGGTGATCTAAGATATGTCATACATTTAGTTCCCTTGACAAATTTGAATAAAATAAGCTCATCTCATTTCATAACCTTTCATCAGCTACAAACAGCTTCCAGTTGAAATAAAGTATTAGTAGTAACAATGGCATAACATACTTTAGATATGTAGAAATAAATGAAGATTTGAAATCCAGGATTAACAGTGAGGTAGTAAATGAGTCAAAGAAACACAGGATTAATAGTTACAAATCTTACTCAATCAAAGCTGCAGAGGAAGGGGAGATAACAAACAAAAATCAGTATAAAAGAAGGGACTGTTCAAGAGCTAGCAAGTTACGTAATCACATGAAAAACTGAAAAGTGATTGACAGTCAGTTAGTAATTAATGAAGAGATAATGCAATAAAAAAGGGAGACTATATACATACACATGTAAAAACTATATACAGTTGGCAGGGTAAAGAAAGGTTAACTACAGTCTCCTTCTGAGCTATCGCGAACCATAATGATGATGGCATTTTTTGTTTGTTGGTTATCCTGAAGGATTGAGAAATACATATTTGGTGTCATGCTTCCCATCAGGTGCCTAGCGATTATGCTAGTTAAGATGTTGCTACCATTCAGACATAGATTTCTCGAAATATACTCAGTATACAGCTGCATAATTTCTTATCTCATCAGATATAAATTGTCATTGATTTCAACTAAGATTTGTAACTATTAGTCCTGTGTTTACTTGACCTACTCACTGCCGTATTGTTAATCCAGGATTTCGAATCCCCATTATTATTATTACTAGTATTAATTTTCTCTTGAGTTCCTAGTGGAAGACAGGGCTTCAGTAGCAAATCTCCATTTCAATCTGTTCTTTGTAGCCATTTGGACCTCGCTGCGCGGCTGCCCATAAGCTTTCGTTTCTTCCTCACACCACCTCCTCCCTCTCACCCTCGGCTCGGATGCCCAACTCGTCATTTCCCATTTGGATTCCACTCGAGGGCCAGGCCTGGCACGTGATGTCCCCAGTCGGCCTTCTCAGTATATGCCCAATCCATCTCCACTTTCTTCTGCATATTTATTCAGCGATAGGTTCTTGCTTCGTTGGTTCATTCCTAGAGTTCCTTGTTGCTTATTCTTATTATTCTGGCCATCTGATCTTATCCTCAGTATCAAGTGAGCGTAGGTGGCAGATATTGATGTATGTCTGTAGTTTGTTGAAAGTGCTTTTCGTGACGCTCCAAGTCTCTCAACCATCACATAGAAGCACTGACTTGACTGGCATTGGTGTTGAAAATCCGGATCTTGTTCTTTGTGCTAAATGCAATAGATCTCCACACTGATTTCAGATTAGTGAAAGCCTGTCTTGCTTCTCTGATCCTGGTTTTGACATCCTCGTCTGAGGCTGTGCCGCCTGTAGTTGGAACGATGCTGCTTAGGTGGGTAGGTAGGTGAAAAAGACTACTTCCTTTACGTTTCTTTCGTTGATGGTGATTGGTGCTTGTTGTTGCTGGTTGGGTATCTTCATCACCTCCGTCATTTCTGTATATCTAAAGTATGTCATACGATTATTACTTCATTTCAGCTGTAGGCTGTTTGCAGCTGATGAAAGGATATAAAATAAAATGAGCTCATTTTATTCTGTAAATTTCTTTGTTTTTGCATTAACCTACGAAATGTCTGACTGCCACTGATATTTTTCTGAGAAATTTATCATTTATGACTATATGTAGGTGTCAGTGATAGTTTTCACCAACAAAATATCCCAATGGACATGAATAAATATCTTATCACTAATCAGTGTATTGAGGATAATTAAAAAGCGCCAAATATACTAAATAACTTTAAATAACATTTTCTAGTACCAGAATCTTATGTCTTATCTATGAATCTAACAAGTTGACCTTTAACTCCAATATAAGCATACTTTGCTATAGGCTGGAAACATACTAACATATGAGAAACTCTGTTCATATTGTTCAATTGATGTTGGTGAACTTCAAAAATGTTATGTAGTATTCAATCAGCTCAACTGATTCTATTTCATCTATTTTACTTCCCATATAGATCAAACAGATATCAGATTTTTGTGCAGGTGACCACACAGTCACTGTTCTATAAAGTAATATCTTGCTTACCAATAGTGCTCATTTAACTGGATTGAAAACATGAGAATTCATATCTCTCTTAGTCCATATCTGATAAGTAAGATGTATGCAAATCACTTCATATTTATTTGGATATAATTCATTAATGACATCATAATCGTTTTACTAACATCTTTTAACAAATTGCATTCATTGTTCACTTGATAGAGAGCTCATTTAATTGTCCAGATGTTTCTGCCTCGAATCCTCAGTAAAGTTAATCATCATTAGAGTAAAACAATTTATTTTTATTCATAAAATAATATTTTTCAATCTTATACTCATAGGAAACTATTCATGTGAGATACTTTCATTTAGAATGACTTTAAAGGTCACTTCAGAGAGTGTTGAGATAAGCAATTGCATTCCTCTATTCTATGAGAAACTACCATCCCAGTTGAAAGTCTGAAATTTGATTGGTTAATTTAACACTTACTAGAGTGTCCTTTGAAGTCACTCCATTTAAAGGTAATCGGTAAGAAGTCTTGTTTGACATAGGGTTCATACTTGTTGGCAGTCGTCAGTAAGGCTTATGTACAGCTCTAAAGAAGGTCACATTGCAAGGAATGGTAGATAGAATTAAGTCAGCGCTCAGGACTTTATAACGTGGAACTGGTTGCTAAGTGCTGGCTAGGCTTATTTTAACAGTGGTCAACGCACGCTTGAATGCCACATGATTCATCAGTCTTTTCGACATCTCAGAAATGCCTTGCTCACGTGTGTTAGAAAACACAAAAGTTAGGTTAATTGCCTCCAACCAAATAACTTCCAATTGTGATTGTGTTGCCCACTAAATAACACACATGAATTTAAAGCATTGAATACTGAGTTTGATGATACTTTTACAAGCCGCTTATATCTATTACCAAGGGAATTCAACTAGATGAAGCATACCAAGTCAGACAGTTTCTATTGGAAATTAACACTACTATGAGGTATATTCTTCTTTGACTGTTCACTGATATTATTACTTTTCTGTATAGAGTTGTAGTAAAACAAAATCTTTCACACAGTTTTCAATTACACCTATTAGTGCTACAAAATGTTGGTTATTGGTTGAACTGTCTGGGTTAACCTCAGTTCAGAGATTCCATGAACTATTGTAATGATACTTTTAATTTCCTGTTGCACAAGAGGTGGCTATATCGCCGCAGTGGCTAAGTAGATAATGCTCTAGCGTTTGAAACGAAGGACACTAGTTTCGAGCCCCCAGTGGGAATAACATCACTCACTGGGGTACAAGAGGTGCATCCAGCTGATGAGTCCCAAATAAGACGAGATGTGCATCCTGGATTCCTCTACTAATCACCTAGATCAATATTCCATGAACTAATTTGGCATTCAATGTTCAATCACTTATCATGTCTTTCAACCTCTGTACAGTTTAGGTTTACGGACAGAGAGCCTTCAGATTAGTTAGTGTGATGAAAGGCTAACTGTCTGTCAAATGTTTCTTATTCATATAGCCATACAATAAAAATTTTAGAATACTGAGGTTAAATTGAAATCTGATCAATGGTTGGTTTGTGTGGCTAACAGTTCTTACTTAACCAGGATTCAGACCTCTTTTACTTCATGTATTCACCTCTAATTCCATATTTCAATGCATAATTGACTTACATATTTGTTTTATCCATTGAATTTTGTACTGTTTCTTCTCTCTTTTCAATTTGTCTAATTTCATTTCCACTTTCTTGTTTACAGTAAGTCATTACAGGAGTAATCATTGAAGATGATAGTGATGTTGATAAGGAAGTTGAAACGGTCAGATTATTTGGTAACCAAAAAGGATATTTTCTGTCTACAGATGATAGGGAAAATTGATCAGGATTATGTATACTTCCATTGTTAATATTATTTGGTAGGATAGGGATTGATGAATGATTTTCGGGAATAGTGAAATTGACTAACTCAGGATTGAATACAATATTTTGTTGTACCAGTCTATTTTGTTGATCCATTCTTCTGGGTACCTCATCCTCCTCTTCATCATCATCATCATCGTCATCATCATCGCTAACCACTTCATCATTATGCAATGAGAATTCTATTTGTGATAATGTTGAATTGACAAGTTCATATTTCCGATCCAAATATAATTTAGGATGTTTTTTAACATCTTGAAGTGAGTTCGTTAACAAAAATGATTTTGTCCACTCCCTATTCATCCAAGTGTCATGTTTATTACTTTGTTGATTATCTAAGAAAGAATAAAAAACCATTTAACAATATTACATATTTCAAGAGGTTTACATTTTTATTAAGAATACTTTGTTTATTCTGATGGGTTTGAAAATTTTGATTAAGAATATCAAGAGACATGGGATATGATAATATTACTTAACTGGTCAAGCTGCTACAATTCATTTCAGTACATTAAGATGCAAGACAACACAATGAATAGAAAAAGTAAAAGAATTACGATCATAAGTTGAATAAAGTTATACGAAGAGAAGAAGAGAGGGTTAGGCGAATGACAACGTATATTATGACCAGTAAGATGGAGATAATATGTAGGCATGTCTACACCAACGGAATTGATTCTCAGCCACATCTACTGATATACAGAGATGCCAAACAAGAAGTTTAAACTTTTCTATATGGCGTCTATTAGCATTCAAACATTTATAGAATGATGTCACGTTCCAGTTTGGTCGCTTAGAGACTTTTGTCTGTTTAGAAGACATATATTTTTATACAGTTATTTGTGTAGAAATAAATGGTTCATTCCCCCTATTTGATTACATTGTAATGATTACTTCCAAAACTCCATTGATTTTTATTATAAGAACTTTCCAATGAGGTTAGTTACTAATCTATGAAATTTAACTTGAATGCAGAGGATACCTTTAAGTATCATTGGCTAAATTAAAGGACTAAGCTTTGTTGAAGAAATTATGTTTCTTTTTGGAGATGTTTTACTCATAGTATAGTCTTTACAGTGGTAAAGTACAGTAAGAGAAATTTCTCCTTGACGATACAGATGATGATTATTTTAGTATTCTATGATACTGAATGATTCGTGGTCAAGATGGGCACCTAAATTAACATTAATTCGATTCAAAAGTTTGTATTTTGAGGAAGTTGTGTGGATTTGGAAATATTTTAAGTTGTTATTCATCGTAGACTGGCATCAGTCGTGACCAGTGGGGACAAAGCCTGATGGTCGTGAGGACCGTTACTCAACGACGACATTGGGTGGAGGTTGTCCTATATCATGAGCTAACAGAAGTTGGAAATATGGACAACTGGATTCTGACCCAGCTTCTCAGTGGTGACGTGCTGGCCACAGAACCTGAGGGTCACGAGTTCACTGGCTGGGGTGGGGGGTCCTGGGTGCGCACTGCTGAGCAGTCCCATACTAGGACGAAACAGCTGTCCAGTGCTCCCAGGTTTCCTTTGCTCTTCCAACTGATGTCAGTCTACGATGAACAACAACTTAAAATGTTTGTCTTAGTAATAAATATTTACGACCGATTACCAAAGCCTGATAAATGTCTAACAGTTGCTACTGACGATTCATATGAAGATAAAACTCGTAGTTGTAATTCTAGGAATTATCTGCAAGTAATCATCTCTTGATGAAGATGAAAGTTCAGAAGTTATGCAGTACTCAGTAATTTAGATGAAATTCATGAGATCTTTATTAGGGGTTGTAGTCATTCATTTCAGTCAAGCTGATGTAATGACCAGTACCAATTGTTGACAATAAATTTCAGTGCATTATAACTTTAACGGTCATCTGAGGTAGCCGAGGTTTGGCAGACTAGTATGGTTATTGGGTGATGACTAAAGGTGAAATGAAAATTTGGACCGCCGCCGCATTCGAATCAGCAGCCACCGGGTTTCCAACCCGATGGACTACCAGCAGAGCTACCCAGTGATCGCTGGTTCGAATCCGGCTGTTGTTCAAATTTTCATTCCACCTTCAATCATCAACCAGTATCAAATAAGTAAACATTAACAATACCTGACCTGATGTTTTTGAATAGTCTTCTTAGTTACCACACTTCATGCCATCACATCAAGAGGACATCATACAAAGAATAATAGTAATGAAGTAAAAATGATGAAGTTAATCATAACTATGTGAAAATTGAAGGTGAAATAAAAATCTGGGCCACGGCAGGACTCGAGTCAACAACCTTCAGGTTATGAAAAATGTAATTAAATGAAGGATCAGCGGAAAAAGACACTAATAAAAATGAATGATAAAGTTTTCAGTATTTAGAAGTCCTGGAGTGGAATCCAAAAGGGAAACGATGAGTTGGGCTTGCGAGGCAAGGGTAACATAAAGGAAGTCATGTGAGGAAGAAATGAAAGCTTGTGGGCAATCATGGACCAAGGTTAAAAAGACTGTAGAGAAGAGAGTGAAATGGCGACGGGCTACTGAAGCTCTAGGTTCCACTAGGAACCCAAGGGAGAAATAATAATAATGATAATAAACAATGGATATGTTGTAACTGCCTGAATCGACTGTGGTCAGATATTCCAAATCGTAAACAGGTGTGCTAAGCCAATATAGGCTCAGACCAGCGGTAAAAAAGCTTCTTGCATTAATGTTACGTCTTAGTCAAGCTATAGCACTTAAGAGGTTGATGTGTGACCATATTATTACAAGTTCTTACAAGGTTATGAATTAAATACAATGGTACATACGTGATGGGTTCGTTATGCTTCAAAAATGAAGGTGGTAAATTTTCGTTTCTGTCATGTCATTGTAAGTCACTCAGACAAATTGTAAGCTCTCTCTATCATCACTAGTTTCATTAGACTTTAGAACTCAACGATGAATCATTTTAGAGAAGTGCCTTTTCTGATATTCTAAAGGAAACTGCAACCAATGAGGGTTATTCAAGTAACGAAGAGCCATAAATATCAACTAATGGCGTTAAAAGACTTCCTTTTCATACAGTAAAATAGTAGAGATAAAAATAAGTCATCATTACTAGACATAATACCTGATTCTATCGCAAGATATATTACTAATACACAATTATACGTAGTATTACAACCCAACACAGTATAGGTTCTACTAAACTATAAGCCACAATTATTGTGTAACAGCTACCTGATTGTCTCAGGAGGAATAAGTGAACCTGGACACATCGATTAAACGTCATCTTTTTAAACCAGGGAACTACGTCCTGACGTATTATTAAGAAGCTTCAAAGCAGTGGGAAACAGCTTTACTTCACCTGATGTATCGTTGTATTACAGCCAGTTATAGTGTTATCAGGTATACCTGTGAAAAGAATACATGAAGAAATGAGAGTTGAAAACAGAAGCGGAAACATAATATGTTGGACATCTGAAGATGTTAATTTTAGCTAAGTCTAAGATTCATTCTCGCTGTTTTCATGTCTGTTTTAAATTACCTGGCTACTAAGTAACATTAGGAATATTTTGCTTAGAAATCCTGATCAAGATGAGAGTGTTCCCATTGAGATAATTAAGATAGTATGACAGTTACTACTTTCCCACTTAACAGGTTATTAATCTGTTAAAAATTTAACCTTACTTCATAATATTTCCTCATTTATAAGCTGTATTAGGTAGAAATACATTTGATCTACTTTCCAATGAACTTATAAAAGTGATAACTTGCTAGCTGCGGAACTTGAAGGTCCTAGGTTAGAACTCTGGTGGGGTTGTAGGTGTACACTGTCTAGAAGTCCTATACTAAAATGAAAAAGCTGTCTGTTTCTCCCAAATTTTTAGTGGTTCTCCAATTGAAATCAGCCCGTGATGAATGTCATCTTGAAATCAGCGGAATTCTCATATACATCTGTAACTTGTAAAATAACTTTCATATATATTTTGAGGGAACTGTGGAGATTTGGTGGAAATTTCGTGAGCTAACAGGAGTTGGAAATATGGACCATTGGATTCCGACCCAGTGGCTCAATGGTAACGCGCTGGCAGCGGAACCTGAAGGTCGCGGGTTCGATCCGTGGTGGGGTCGTGAGTACGCACTGCTGAGGAGTTCGATACTACGGCGAAACAGCTGTTCAGTGCTCCTGATATCAGTCTACGGTGAATAACAACTTGAAATATATCTATTGTCAACTTTTCACTTTATATCCGATATTTATGAAACTGCTCAGTAAATTAAGTGAAGTGAACATCGTTAAGGTTTTTTTCTTTAAAGTTCAGGGAACATTTTTAGTACAGCTCTCATTTGAAGTTGTTTAGATGTACACTGGTATCAAACATCGGTTGGTCATGGGACACCAACCCGTTATATGCTGTTTAGTCCCAAGTCCAGACCTAATTTTATCCTTTGGTTTAACAATGTGGACACCAAGCTAAGAGGCTCAGCATCATGGTGCATATTGGTACATGTTATTCAGTTAAAGGCAATCAGTAGGAAGCCTTCAACTTAGGTTTTATGTTTATTGCCACTCATCACCAAGGCGTATCTGCAACTTCGACGAAACTGATATCCCGCCTGAGATCTGAACATGGGTTATCCAGTGTTGTAATTAACAGCGTTACCACTGAGCTATCCAGTCAGTAATTGACCTCCTATAGGACTGGGTTACATATATCGATTGGTCACGGTGCCAACAAGCACGACACTCTGGTCTAGGGCTTCCTGCCGATTTTCTCTAACCAACTAAAACACTGGTATCATGTTTAAAAATAATCTTATATCAGTTATGATCAGTTCATAAATTCCTCTTCACATTTACACTGTTGATTTGAAATGAAATATGACATTTCAGACAGTTTTTTGTGTGTCTTCTATTCAAAGTTTACAGAAATATTGATATTTTGAAGAGAAATTATTTTTGTAATTTACCAAAGATGAGTATGAAGACCAAGCTATATGTTTAGAGTGCGTTGTTGAGCCACTAATTAACTTTGAGATCTCTATTCGTATGTTTTAGGAGATTTATTAATTTATTTTAGATTGAAATTCACCATGAACTGACACCAGTTGGGGGAACATTGGAAATCGAGGAGCACTTTACAGCTGACTCCTTTTAGTATGGAATTTTTCAGTAATGTGCACCCATGAACCCACCCTTCAGGGATCGAACCAAGGACCTACAGGTTACGTGACCAGCTAGAGTAAATCCAGTTGAACATGAGGACAGCTACTCAGGGACATTGGGTGGAGATCGCACTATGACGTAAATTGACAGAAGTGGGAAATATAAGCCACTGGATTCTGACCCAGTGGCTTAATGGTAACATGCTGACTACGGAGCCTGAA